TGGCTTCCGCACTCCTTTTCCTTGAATTCAAGTGTTAATCAAAAATATCAGAGGTCTGCATGGATCATCATAATAATTGAATGATTACCCAACCCGAACCGAACTCGACCCGTTTTTATTGAATGACTTCGTAACACAATAATAAAATGCAGTTTTTAATTTACAAGAAAGGAAAATTTACTATAATAAGCTTCTTGACACAAGAATACTTTCAATTGTTTGTGTATTTAAATTTGAGCGAAGCTCATTTACCGTAAGTCCGGCCGCACTAATTCTCTTTCACTAGGTGCGCTGGAACATGGGATTGAAAGATAATGAGCAGCAACCCTTGAAAGTCTTGGATAAACACGTTGATGGTCTTTGAAAATTTTACACATTTAAAAATAATTTATTACAAATAAATTTTTTTTTTAACAGTGCCATTTAAATTGAGTACTACTTGTGTGATTGATTCGATCATTGACACTAAAGAAACAAATAATTTCACAGTTATTGAAACTAATTCCATTACAAGAGTGGAAAAATTTTTTAATCTTCACCTAATTGCCTTTTACTATCATTTATTAATGAATTAGATGAAGGCGCAATTTATATAATAAGGTATTCGACTTTGCGTTTGGTACCATCATATAATTATTGGCTTTAAAAAAGAGATCGTGGCTGGAAAGAGAGAATTGTTATGCAACCATTAATAAAAATATTATCAACAGAAAAGAAATTTTGTTGTTATACAACCAACAATATGGAATGGGTTGTTAAGCAACTATTAATCACGCCTTTATAAAAACGTTATATGATATTATTTAGTGTAGCTTTAGATAGTTAAACAATTGGTCTGGTCACCCAACCTTTAATCAGAAAATATTAGAAAAAAAATTTCTTTTTTCAATAACCAAAACTTCTATTATTTTTAGAGCCTAAGTGACAGATTTATTATAATGGCTTTTGTTATTAAAAGAATAAAAAACTTGATTTGTAAAATGCTACTTACAGAAGAGAATCAATAGATTATATAAGCAAAGAAAGAAAATTCTGCGACATGGGCTGTTGTTTTAGACTTTCCCTAAATTCAGAGTTTTGAGTCCTGGGTTGCTGTCTACCTTAAAGGTAGGATTATTGCAGGCAACTTTTCGGCTAACATATCAGCAGCCTTCTCTGGTCTGTGAAGATTAGTGAAAACGTCATTGACGATCGATGTAGTTTCGATAAACTCCAGGGCCATGTATCCCCCCTGGAATTTGGTAGCATCATTGTATCTTTCGGTCCATCAGGTCAGTTTAGCCTTGTGTATATGAGGAAGATGGGAATGACTGTAAGTGTTCAAGGTAGCGTACGTGCTTCAACGCTTGCTAATTTCCGATAATCAAACATTGCATATCGAAATGTTTCATATTTGAATTGTTTCTTCTAGAACTCAGTCATACTGCCTTGACATTTTTATAATTGAATATTTATAATGATATTATTATTAACGATTACGAAAAGCAAAATACCAATCGCTTGCTATCTTGATAAGAATCTTATAATTACCCAGCAAGTTCTGCTCTGCGTTTTGATTTCCTTAAAATATTCACATAACAAAATATAGTACCTCCGGTTAGTTATTAACACATCTTCAGAACTAAATCATACCAAACAACATTCACGTTTCCTCATCTTTGTCAAAAATAAATTGTTTTTCAAGAAAAAAACCAATTCGCGTCTTTTTCTTTTTAAAAAATGTCACAACAACAACAAAAGGCAAATACGAGATCGCTGGGTAAGTGGTACTTATTAAAAATAATGGTGGTTGTCACCACTTGTCATTCTAAGAGTAGTGGTTGTTTTGAGTTATTCCGGTCGAGTTAAAACTTATTTGATTTTATTTTTTTTTTTTTGGCGCTTCATGCTCGTCATCTATTTCATCGTCTTCAGCTCCATCATCACCGAGATACTAATATATTATCTTTAAGTAAGCAATACTTTAATAAATTTGAACTTCTTAATAATATTAATTTCTTAATAACAAGATAACGAAATACTTAAAAATCAAGGAGAGAGAAATAATAATATAGAAAAATAGCAGAATTAGATAAAGGCGAATTTGAAACATATAAAAATATACCTCAAATGTTTCCTATTGAAGAAAATGAACCATGAAAATGGTTGGCAATTCCTTCTTCTTTATCTCCTTTAGAAAGACTTTTTTCGATGCGGGGCAATAAATTACTTTATTGCGAAACAGACTTAGTTCATAGTCTGTTGATCAAGTTCTTTTCTTGAAACGAAACAAAAAAATTTGTTATAAAAATTGAAAATAAAAATTAAGATTCATATTGTGATAAATAAGACTTTTGGACATGTGACCTAGCCCCGTTTTAATATATTTGAATTTTTATATTTTACATTTGTGTTTACTATACTGTAAAGTGTGTTTACAGATTTGCCAAAGCTTTCTAGGTATAAGAAAGATGCAGTAAACAGGATAATTGTTAAATAAATTCATAGAATAAATTAATTGACGAGTGTAGCTAAAAGTTAACTCGGACTCAGTCATAAACGTAAAACAATCAAGAAGATTGACCAAAAGGTCATTCGCAATATAAAAATCGAATATTTCGATTTACCGATTAGTTTACGATTTCAATTATCAATTGTAAAAAATCAATCGATTAACAACTCTACTAGAAATGATTAATGCATTAAAAATAACTTGGAAAATTTCATTGACTCTGAAGTATCAGATGATGATGCAAAATTTATTTTAATTTTATGTTATTTTGTTAATTTAAATCTTTAAATTGACAATTCTTTGATTCCACCGAATTTACATTCTTATATTTTCAATCGATGGATTCTCATTTTATTTCCCTCTTATTCTTTTCTTTCCTATTTTATTTCTTTTATTTCTTTGTTCTTTTGTTTCTACATTCCTTTATTTTTATTCCTTTACTCTTTATTTCATACCTTTCGAGGTTAAACCTACAGTCAAACCTCGTTATAGATAGCCCTCGTTGTAACGGATTTTAGATTTAAGAAATAACGAATTTACTAGTCGCGTTATAACGGATTTTATGTTTTTATATATTTTCCTTAATAATATTCGTATTTAATTATGTCACACTTCGCTATAACGAAGTTCAACTGTATTTCATTTCCTTGTTTGAATGCAATTGACAAAGCCAGGCAACCTTTATTTATCTTTATCAACAAATTCTTAAGGATTTTCATTTAATATTAATCAATTTAGTATTCAGTTATTCCACGGAAATCCTGATCAGTTATTTAAATTATATTATCAATGAAAGGAATCAACTAATAACCTTTGTCAAAATAAAACTTGTTATCCTTGTGGGATTAAAGGACACATTAAAAAAGTGAAGTTCAAGGATTAATTGAAGAAGGAATAGAATTGGTATTTCCTTATTGTAACTACTGGAGAAAAGAATGACACTTAAGAAAGGATTGTGATAATTTAATAAAGGATAACATTGTTACTCCAGTAGAGGAACCTTTATTCGAAGAAGTACCTTATTATCCAATATAAAATATCCATCACTTGGAAATGTATGTTGTGGATTTTAATATAATAATAATAACAGTCTCTATTAGACATAAGTTGCAAGGATGTTGAGAAAAATACAAGAATCTGTTCAATATTAGATCCTCCTTCAATATTAAGACTTTTTTTTAATAATATTGAAATTGGAGAAGCTAACAAAGAAATTGAAAAATAAATAACTGAATACATCACAATGCAAACAATAGTAATCATCCTCAACCAACTTTACATGATATATATTTTTATAATCTTTTCGCTGCTAATGATAATAACCCTAATACTAATCATCACAATAATACAATAATTAGTTCAATTTGCCTTCAACTTCAGATAACATGAAAGAGGAATTTTCACCATTAGCCAAAATAGCCAAAGATTGCCTATCAAGGTTTCAACCAGAAATCACCAAAGTTTGCTTATGCCTAAAATTGGATCAATAATGATTTGGGTAATAAAGATGTTGTAGAAATTAATATTGATAATGATTTAGTAATGGAGAAAGATGATGATGATATTAATTGTTTGGACTATTTAGATGAGTAAATGTGTTTTTGTATTTTATCATGATAATATTATTATCTAATTGTCATGTGAGTTTTGTTTTCAGGTTAATAATTTCATTTATTACATAATAATAAATAAATTGATAATGGTCTGGTGACTAAATATTTAAATAAATAAATTGAATTTTAAAAAGACTAGACTGGTCTAACTATTTAACAGCTTTAGTGCCATGGTCCTAAGACTATATAGTCCAAACAGTCCAGACCGAGATTTAAGGCTGAGACCAGTCCATCTCAAGCATGGATGGACCAGTTTTAGATCGGGCCGGATTAGATGGGCCATTTAGCATCGCCACCTGGAAAACAACCAAGGTCCGAATTTTTGAGAGTTTTTCCAATAATATCGGACAAGTCTGATAGATAAATATTTAAAATCACAGATTCAATATTTGGTGGTGAAACATTCTTCAAATATTTTATCACAATTGTCTTCGAATAATGAAAATGCGCAGAGCGTAAAATAACTGGGTATCAGGATTTCCTCCGTCGGTTGCTTTTTTTTAGATTCGAAATTTTTCACTTTCATATCAAGCGCCCACCAATATTTGACAGTGTTAACAACACTGTCATCAAGAGGCTGGCGAATAAATAGTTCTCTAAAATACTTGGAGTGCCTGTTCTATTTCTTTTTTAATACCTTTGTAGGTTTTAATTGTATCATCGAGCTGCAAACTTTTAAACGTTGTGTGTTAATATATTCTCGTTCAAGCAAATTTTTTATTTCAAGAAAACAAATAAACTTATTGAATAGTTTAAAACAGTGTTTCAAAAATTGGTCTTTTTATATTTAGATAAATTGCCAGCTTTACATCTCAAATTGTAAACATTCATAATTCAATGAAAATATATGACCAAATTTTTAATCATTGCTTCCATTGTTATTTTTTATCCCAAACATGGCATGGTCAAGCACCAATCACGTAGTGGGTAATGGGGCGCTAGAAATAATGTTCTCGTGATATATAGATTATCCCGATCGAAAATTTTGGGGCGGGATGTTTGGATACAAAATTCTGATTGGCTAATTTGAATTCACGCGAGTGATAAATATAACAATTATTTCTCAATAAAAATAATTAATTATCTTTAAAATAAATAGTTAAATAAATGTATTCTGAAGTTACTAATCTTTTGGAATTACCTGGAGATGGAACTTTCCGTACCACTCTTCTTTTTAGTGTCACTGATAAAGTTGGTATTTTAGATGAATGTTTATCAGCTATTAAGAAACAAAATATTTCTTTGACAAGAATTGAAAGGTATATTTTTCACCTTTAAAGTTACTATCATCATTCATTACTGTTATCGTTATCATTATTAATGTTACCATTAATCAATAAAGTCGCCCAAGTAAAACACCTGAATGGGATTACGATTTTTTCGTTGATTTTAATGTTGAGAATGCTACTCAACTTTCTAATATAGTTTCCGCCCTAAAGAATGTAACTAAACAAGTAAAAATTGCTGGTGCTGAAACTACTGAAGCTACTGAAGGTCATTAGATCATCATAAATATTGTTGTTATTATTTTTTTATCATGCTAACCAATTTTTTGTTTTTTGTTTATCATTGAAAACAGTTAGCACTCCTTGGTTTCCACGTAAAAAATCAGATCTGGATACATTTGCTGATAAGGTTTTGGAAATGGGCGAAGATCTCGGTAACAATTTATTTTTCATTCTTTGATAAATTGAAATGTCACTCGCTCACTTTTACTTGTTATTAGACTCGGATCATCCTGGAGCAAATGATCCAGAGTATCGTGCCAGACGTGCACAAATTACACGTATTGCAAAAACTCATAAGAGTGGTCAACCTATACCAACTGTTGAATATACAACTAGAGAAATTGAAACTTGGGGCGCTGTTTTTCGTAACTTAATGAAATTATATCCAACTCATGCTTGCAGAGAGCATCTATACGTGTTTCCATTGTTGACTCAAAATTGTGGATATAATGAAAAAAATATACCGCAATTAGAAGATGTATCTAAATACTTAAAAGGCAAATATTAAATTTTATTTTTTTATCCTTAAATTAATACTCATTATAATGATGTTATTATTTGTTATTATTATTAATGATACATTAGAATGTACTGGATTTACTTTAAGACCAGTAATGGGTTTGCTCACTTCTCGTGATTTTCTTAATGGTCTTGCTTTTCGTGTTTTTCACTCTACACAATACATTCGTCACCATTCTAAACCATTCTACACTCCAGAACCGTGAGTAAAAAAGAAATTAAATTTAAGAAGAAATTTCAAAAAAAATTTTCTATATATTAAAAAATTTAAATTTTTTTTTAGTGACGTATGCCATGAATTGCTTGGTCATGTAAGTCGCTAAAATATATTTATATATTTAAAAAAATTTTATTGATTTGTCATAAAATTATGTTTCAATCTATCTATTCATATAGGTTCCTTTATTTTGTGATCCTGATTTTGCTGATTTTTCTCAAGTAATTTATCCTTTTTCCTAATCTGTATCTCATTTATTTGTACTTGAATAATTCTTTATATTATTTATTGTTGTTATTGTTATTGTCATTATTATTATTAGGAAATTGGTCTTGCTTCTTTAGGTGCTAGCGATAGTGATATTGAAAAACTTTCCACAGTAAGTTCCCTATAAAAAACCAAACATGTTTCATTTTAATAATATTCATTTATTATTTTCTTTCAATTAAAAGATATACTGGTTCACTGTCGAATTTGGTCTGTGTCGTCAAGAGGGCGGAATTCGAGCATATGGGGCTGGTTTACTATCGTCATTTGGTGAATTAGAAGTAATGTATTAAATGCATACCTTTTTCATAATAATAATAAATTAATTAATTCTAAAAATTCTTCATCATCTATAAACCTATTAGTATTCTTTATCAGATAAGCCTGAAAAATATTCGTTTGATCCATATAAAACCTCCACGCAAAAATATATTGTAACTGAATATCAAAAGGTATTATTTACATTTACTCGTAATCATTCAATATATTTGCTAAAATAAAAAAGGTAAAAATAAATTAAACAAATTATTTTTCTAAAAAAAAAATGTTAAGGTTTACTTTGTGGCTGATTCATTTAAGGATGCACAACAAAAGGTTCGTGAATTTGCAAAAACAATGAATAGACGATTTTCCGTACGTTATAATCCATACACAGAAACTATAGAAGTATTAGACAATAAGGTTCGTTACATAAACGACGATACACACAACATATATTATATTTTAATTAATGTTTATATTTTCTTACCCTCTTCCTTCTTCAAAACAAAAAAAAATAGGATAAAATCTTGAGATATGCACAAAATATTAAAAGCGATTTCGTAACTTTTGTTGATGCGTTGGAAAGAATAGGTTCATAAAATAAATAATTTATTGTACTTTGATTCTCTTGTAAATAAATAAATATTTTTTATTTTGTAAAAGTTCAAACGAAATGTTTTTTTTTGTGCGTATGTAGAAAATTTTCAGGCTTTGATATTTTTTATGACATAACAAAACAAAAATTAAATTACGCATGTAATACCAGATAATTATTATATTATTATTATTAATTATTATTACAAATTAAATATTCAAATACATCATTCATATATATATATATATATACACACACACATATATATAAGTATCTAAGAGTTTCTATATAGATGATAGAGTTGGTGTTATTGTTTTTGCTCCTCTTCCACCCTCAAAGTTCATTGATAACAAGGCCATTAACATATCCTATTTATTACCAAAAAAAAAACCCTCGAATTAATTAAATTCGAATAAATAATCATCGCACACACGTATCAAGAATAATTACTAACCTGCAATACATGAATAATAATCACAAGCATAGCCACAACCATTTCTGGATATTTCTTAAAATCAGCAACCGCTTCACGTCTAATATTAATTTTAAAATATTTTTCGTATATTATTCTAGTGACCTTTGCGCTAATCAATTCAAATGCCCAAATTTTACAAGTAGCCTGTAAAGTCCACCAGATATCAAGCTCTTTATTTTCGTCAACAAATTTAAAATATGGATACACCTCGTAATTTGGTCCGTAATGAATTATGCATAACCATCCCAAAAATCCTAACATTGTTGCATTTTCTGCCAGATTTCGTATGAAAAAAGATCGACCACATTGTTTCTGATATGTTTCATAATCTTTTTGTAATCCAACATATGTAACCAAATATCTATGAACTGTTTGAGTCATACATAATGGATAGAATATACAGACCCATAAAGAACTAGCTGCCTGAATAATAATATACTGTCCAGGATCCCGAAGCCTGGCAAATAAGTTTCTATAGAAAATAAAATAAATCATGAAAAAATAAAGTTTGAAGATAAACTGTAGCGGGTACGACTTCACTCGTGTTTCGATCACATAGTCGGTGATTGTATCCAGTATGTATACTGTTGCCAGCCACGAATAAACATAAACAAATGCATCGATGCCAGTATGATTTTTAGTTGTCAAAAATATAAATGCATATGATTCACCAGCTATAAGTGCAATCATTATCATAAACAAAATAGCACTAAACCATAAAAACCTAATGTAAGATGCAGGTATGCGTGATTGCAGTTCAGTTTCAAGAAATGTTTTTTGTGCTGGTGTTAATGACTTCCTATAAGTGTTTCTGTTTTGTCTTCTTATCACTGTAAATGCTACTATTAAGGGCATGCACATTGTTAAAAATGTAAGCAATACCCAAGTCAAGTTATATCTTTCAAATTCTGTAAACTCGTATATCAATACCCCTCCTGCCAACGATAATAACCAAAACATTGTATATGCAGACACACCACCCAACTTCTTTGGCCACCAATTAAGTGAGTAAAGATCAAACACTTTTGTTATCATCAACAAGGCTATTGCATTATAAAACCCATAATAAAAAAATAGAAAAAACCAAAAATTAATTTCAAATGGTCTTTCGTCATGATTTGGAAGGTTTGATATATCGGTGTTATTTAATTCTGATGATGATGATAATATTGAAGCATAATATCCGAATAATTTTTTTATAAAACTCAAAGTTGTATGATTAACATTTTCGCCTCCACCACCTGGCTTATCACCTGGATCATGTTTTGGAAATGGAACTGCACACCAAATTAATACCTATTGTTTTCAATCGAATTTAATGATTTAAAATTTTATGAAATCATAAAGATCAATATTTTGAAGGCAAGATTATTATGATGGATAATACATATATTGTTTATATTTACCACACAAACAGGTAAAACATTTAAAAGGAAAAAACATCTCCGTGCATTTTTTGTCCATCTAGCAACTTGTTTACTTGTAGGCCTAATTCCTTGAATTAACGGCGTAGTCTCACCAGGTTGGTCTAAAGCTGATGCTGAACTATGTACATTGTGTGATGTATTACCTGTTGGATGTATTCTATATCTACCAACTGTGTATTGAGTGTCTTTAAAAAAAAAAAGCATAAATTTAAATAAAAAGGACTTGAATATTAAATTACAAACTATTTAAAACATCAAATAATATTCGCTGTTACTGAATACCATTATTAATAAATTCCTACCATCCTGAGATTCTAACTCATTCCCCTGTTGCAAAGTGAGAAAATTCATGTTTGTTTTTTTTTTGGGATTAGAATTTTTATTTATGAATCAATAATAATTATAATATGTTGATATATTTTTGATTATACTGATAATAATTAACAAAATTCATTGATTTAATTATAAAAAATTTATTTTAAAAAAATTTTTATATATAAATAGTATTAAATTTTTCCTTCTCAAAAAAGATAAGGGGTTTTGATTTTTGTGTAATTTCCCAAAAAAAATAATAAAAAAAAAAAAGGTTTAACTGTTATTAAATAAACATTAAACTTTACATATATACCATTACATTTAGCTAAATTAAGTTGATTTATTTGTATATAATTAGCTAGCTATACGTTTTTTTTACGCCCTTACTACTTTTAAAAAAAAAAATTTTTTAACCTAAAAAATCCACTTTAATATTAAAAAATAAAAAAGAATGATTCTTTTTTATAATTCTTAAGAAATTAAATATCAAAATAACAATTTGAATTTGATCATTTTTATACACACAATATTCATTAATCATTGTCATAAGTAGCTGTAGTTCCCAAGAAGATAAAGGAATAATCGTTCACTTTCTCATTTCAAATTTCACGTATTTCATCTTTTGAGGTGTATGTATACTAATTAGTATTAAGCAGTCTCCAATAAATGCACATGTTTGTGTCATTCATTGTGCATTGAATGGTTTCCTTATTTGGGAAAAACATACTTCTAATAGATCATCTGACTTGATGAACAGCCTTGTCCGCGATTCTTCAATTACTCCAATACGTTCGATAGTGAGTTATATTTTTTCTGATGTTAATGTTAATTAGTGGATGAAATTTCAATATATGTGATATCTCATGTTCAGGGATCCTGATCAGGATTTGAAAGTAATAATTTTGTCTAAAAGTAAGTAAATCAACTCGCCGTAATCACAAAGGAATTCGTGTGTTAGCTGACAGAGATCAGAAATTGGAAAGATGTAGCAAAAAAGGTTCAACAGTTTAAGTGATGAAAGTTTTTGCAAACTTTTTGGAAAGACGAATGCACAAAATTGTTTTTCGTCCGTCCTACTTCGAGTAAACACTATTATTTAACTTGGTTAGCATGGGGACACAAATTCATCAACAGGTCTCGTGACAACTTCTGCTTGTGAATAAAGTCACAAGGTAATATTGTTGCAAACCAGAATAATTATAGAATAATTAACGTAGTAATGTCACTTAGATATAAAAGAAAATGGCCAAGTAATAGATTCTTTGAACTCGCTACTTGACAAGCCTGTTCCCAATTCACATTCGGTCTGGTTGAAAACTCACCATGCTTAACAAGTAACCAACTAGTTTACCATGTCTAATATATAATGAAAAACTACTCGAGTTTTGCGTTTCGCGAATGCTGTATTAGAATGGGACGTAGCATATTATAAAAATATTTATTATTATTACATTGATGGTTATTTGATAAATAGGCGGGTTCCTTGGCGAACAATAATAATTGTTTGTACAGTAACAACATCATGTCCAACATTTTTTTGTAATTAACCGTTAAAGATAAACGTTTGTCAACCTCTTCCCTCTTCTTCGTTCGATTTTTTATGATTGATTATTCGATTGCATCAAAATTTTCCTATAAATAGTGGCACTGACTAAATTATTAACAATAATAATATGATGCGAACGGTCTATAAATCGAGCAAACTTTTCGAATTAGTTGATAGATAAGACTCTCTCTGGCTTTAATTTAATGGATGGATGGAGAGCTTTCCTCCAAAAGAAAATTTGCCATGTACTTTGAACATTGTTACACGGTAATTCGAATTCACTTTTAATTAATATTTATTTATTTTCACGAATCCTTATTTTTGTTATTGAATTTTCGTTGATCGGCACGGACCATGGATTTCTTTTCCTTTTAAAGCATTTTGGCCTAGATTGATAAATTTTGAACTAACACAGACTTTTTCGACGGTTAATGTTAAAAAAATTTTTTATTTGGAATTTTACGTCGATCTAACAAATGTCATCATATCTGTTGGAAAATAATGAAACGCTGCTTGAATGTAAAAAAGATGCAAAAGATAAAAGACGACTTGAAATACTTGAAAAACTAAAAAAATTAAAAGAAGAAGAGATTAACAAAAAAGACGAGTGAGTATATAGATAGATGGATGGATAGTCCTTTGCCGATTTCTTTTCAATTCGCATTCAAAAGGTTCTATTATTGATTGTGTCATATTAACATTATTATTATAGAATATATATAACAAAATTAAATCAGTGTGATCAAGAAATTAAAGCATTGAGAGAAGGTTTTCATTCATTCATTTATCAATTATCCATTTATTATGTTATTCAACTTAAATGTCTCCTATAGGAATTCATCCTGAATATGAGGAAAGATTACAACAACTTATTGAGAAACGGGAACAGACACTTGAAAAAATAAGATTGCATAAAAATTATAAAATTCAATGTGTACAAAAAATGTTTGATCTTGAAACCCAATTAGTTGAAGATAATTATTTGGTTTGTTTTATATACTATTTTATTTTTTGTGCATATTGTTGTTAACAACGATAAATCAATATATATTAGGCTGAAAAACGAGGTTTAAGGGAGCAAATTTTGGCAGACTTGGAAGAACGTAGAAAAAAAATCAACGAAGATTTTGAAAGTTACGATGTTGCAAGTGGTAAATTTTTTTTCCTTGGGTTCTTTCTCAAAATAGATATTATCATCAAATATTATTTACAATATGTATGTCTTAAAGATGCAAATATAGAGTCTGGTTTACGATTTCATCCACAAAGAAGGTTACGTACACGTGTAAAAGAAGAGACAGAAGTAAAAACCAAAAAAACAAAAGTATCAGATATCCTTTAAGCTCTTGTTATTGTTATATTTACTGATTGATAATAATCTTTTTTAGTGATTTAAAAATTATGATCATAATTATTATTATTAATTATTATTATTTTCTTAACTCATTTTAGTTTACACGTCCATTAGTATCCACTAGATTACTTGAAAATGAAATAAATGAAGATTTGGCAGAAATAGTAAAAGTAGTTATCATTGTCATTGTAATTATATAAATAAATAATTACTTATTAATTTTCTTTGTTTTAGGCATCCGGGATAAAAAAACCGTCTCCACAAAAAAAGAAATAAATGAAAATAGAAAAACTAATTATTTATGAATTTATTATTAATTCAAGCAGAAGATTATGGAAGAACAATTAATGCATTCTTAAAATTTCTAAATTTTAAATTATTAGCAAAAAAGAAAATAATAATCATTGTGTTATTGTGTTGTTATAATATATATATATATATATATATATATATAATAAGTATTTTTTAATAATTATATTGTACATTATAAATTTTACATTTTTTAATAAAATAAATATTATATATATATACGTACGTATTATGTATATATTAATATTAGGCACTTTGTAATGCAACAGAAGCCTCAGTTCTAACAAAGAACGGTCCTTCATTCAAATATTTTACTAACCGCTCCATAATATTTGGAGGAATGCGATAGGTTGTTGTTTCAGATGACTTTACCAATGTTTGCACAATTGAGTATTTCCATCCTTTAGCTTTTTGTGTAGATTCAGTCGTGCGGTTTAGAATGTAGTCAATGAATTCTTTTGAATTAGTAGTCATTTCAGATTTTCCCCATGGATGTAATGCCATCTTTTGCATCACTGCAAAAGTTGCAATACGTAATTCTTCAATATTTTTCTTGGCATATGTAATTAATGTATTAAGGTGTGATGGAGTACCTGAACAAGCAACAAAATTATTATTAATAATATTATATTATTATGATGATAAATTTAAAATAAATATAAGCATGAATATAAAGATATGAGTACATGAAGTAACAGCTACCTTCCAATTGACGATATATACGTTCTACAATATCAGATGTTTCCGGTGTAGGGTTCTCACTATTATTATTAGGTAATTTTTTTAAAATTTATTCTTAACCCCATAACACTCATATATGTGTGTATATATGTGCTTACCTTGCTCCAAATAAACACGATAAAGTTTGTAAACATGTCAGTTTTACATCATTTGTTGAATTTTGATAAACTTCAATAAAATTACCAATTATGTTTGATGTAGTGTTGTTGTTATATAAAAGTTTAAGTCCACGTTCATTATTGCCAATCACTCCAATAATATTTATTGCAGTTATCTTTAAATTAATCATTTATCATATCAGCATCATCATCATCATCAACAACAACAGAATATGGAATTGAATAATTAAATTAATAGTTATATTATATTAAATTTAATTAATTATTTTACCTTTATATCCTTGTTATTGTCAAATAGGTGTGAACTAATATATGTTAAAATCCTATATTTATTTTCAACTTGTATAAAATCTACCTCCTACATATATATAATTATAAATATAAATATTTTGGATTTATATTATCTTTCAATAAACAAATAAATAAATATAATTTTTTTTGATTTAATAAATTTCTTATTTACCTTTACTTCAGATAATTTACCAAAAAATTTTAATACAGCACATTTTACTAGAGTTAATACTACATTTTGATCTTCATTTCTTGACAATGTATCGACAAATGATTGTAATATTCCTGCTTTTTCCAAAAATATATATCCAGATTTACTTTGACCAATCTAAATAAACATATATGAATATATATATATGTGAACATGGATGGATATGTAAAGAATATGAAATTAATAATTTATCATAGTATAATAATTAATTAAATACTCTTGATAAAGTTTCTATGGCATTCAATTTAATTAATAAATCATTTGAATTTATTTCAGAAGTTATTGCATCAAGCGCCCCAGAAGATTCACATAAATTAAATGATTCTTCAGAGGAAGTTGAAATTTGTGATATCAAATCAAATAAACGAAACTTTATTGTATCGCTCCTAATAAACCAATAAAATGATTAATTCATTAATTAAATTAAGAATTTGTCATCATCGTCATCATTATAAATATCTAAATATATATATATACCCTTGAGAAAGTTGTTCCAATAAAGTTATTGATTCCGAATTAAAAATTGCATATAATCCTGGTTTTGTATTAGCAATCTAAATATAATATTTTATATATAAATATATTAAATATATATATATATATATAAACCAAATAGAATTTTATATTTTAAATTTACTTTAACAAGAAATTCTGTCGCTTTAGTTGACGTAGGAATATCATCAAAGCCAATACATTCCAGTATAAGAGGAAATAGAGGTGAATTGATCTATTAAACACACACACACACACACACACACAAATATATAAAATCAATCAAGGCTCAAAACTAATTAATTATCAATTGACATACAATAGTACCATTTCTTGAATTGTAGCTTCTGATTCTTGGCATTTTTCAATTTGATTAATAGATAAAATTCTAACTTTGGATGAATTATATTGTAAACCTAGCATTAAATATTCCTAAAAAAAATTTTTAAATTATATATTTATTTACTTGATTAAATAATAAATAAAATAATTTTTTCTTACTTCAAGTCCTAAGGAAATAATCTCGGAATATTTCATTGACATCATTAATTTTTCAATTACATTACATGCGACAGAAGTAACATTTTCATCATAGCTTCCAAGAAGTGTAAAGAATGAATAAAGTGGTACCGTTTCAAGTATAGTTTGAGATTTTTGGGCTTGATCCGGTCCTTTAATTGATTTTTATTTATTTATTGACTTCTAAAAATTATTATTACTATTATTAATTTTATATAAAATTTACCATCTAATGATAAATGTATAACTCGTAAGGCATCAATTAAATCCGAAATATCAACACTTCCTGGGGAATTTAAAAAATTTCTTAATGTATCAATATCAGATGTAGTAGTAGATACCATTTATTTAACAATTGAAAAATTGATCTGCAAAGATAATAGTGACACATATTGATCTTTTTTAAAATAGAATAAATATTTCAATTAATTATTTCTTACTATACTATTATTAGTGTACTATTTATTACATATGTATATTAAAAAAAAATATAATCATAGATAATATGCTTGTGATTATAAATAATAAATATATGCAAAGTTGTCTTTATGATTATATTTAAAATGATTTACTAAGCCTAAGCGTGTCAAAATTTGGTGACGGTGGTTTAACCGACATATTTTCTTCACAGGAAGCTGTTTGAGGATTATAAACTTTATTTTTATAATACGAAAGTGCTTTGTTTAATGGCAGATGATCCGTTAAATTTCTTAATTATTGTTATATATAATAGATGAAATTTGATTAATAATTGCATTACAATAATTAATATTATTGATAATTATAATTGAAAAAGTTTTAAAATACTCTCATTAATAATCTTATACTTACTTTCTTGGTGCCACGTTAAGACAATGCCGTGCATCAAGTTTTAAATCCAAAATATTTGGATCATGGGCACCTTGACTAAATGCTACACGCATTGAATACTCTTTCTCGCCAGAAATTCCACGAAGACGTTCATAAAGTTCAAATGTAATTTGCGTGAGATCTTTTTAATTTATAAATTAAAAATAAATATATTTTTGATATTAATACTTTAAAAAATACTCTAAAATTTTTTTTAATATTTACTTACAATCAAGCTCTGGTACTTCATTTTTAGATATTCGTGTTGGAAGGCCGGATAAAAACACAACATTCAATAAAGTATGCACATGAGACTCTAATAAAAATTATTTCGTTAATTAAAATATATGATTTTCAAAGAAAAAAACCTCTTAACAAAAAAGGTTCGAATTAAGTGGCTTCTATTTTTTTTTTTTTTTACCTTTAGTGAAATAGAGTCTTGTAGACGGTGCCCGACTAAGTTTGGATTCCTAAGTCAGAATGTAATAATGAAAAAAGATCTTACTTTACTAATAAAAAAAGAAAAATCAAAATGTAGCAAGCAGCATGTAAATATATAAAAACCTCTAGATTTTTTATTATATTTTGTAATAAAAGATTTGATGTTAGAAGTCCAATCTCTAATTTATCTTTATTTTCAATCCCATATTCTCGTGGTGCAACAAAATCAAACAACATCCTTGCACGTTGATATAATACTTTAATTGTTGCAATACTCTTGTCGCCAGATTGATCAACAAATATTGTTTCCAAATATTGTCTATTGTGTAAAGCATCATATTTTAAAGAATCGTAAAGCTCCGAAACTTTACTTGGCTCAAATTTTAAACGCTCTACATCACAAAAATCTCTAAATAATTTTTCCCATCTTTCATTAAAAAGATGTGGATTTTCCGAACAACACCATCTTGATTGGATGTTATCTATATCCAAAGTGGAAAGGTTTTTTCGCATTATATCACGTAAACCTTTTAATATATCTATAACTTCCTGAACCATTATATGTGGCATCGGAAGTCCTTTTGGCCACGTTAAATTTACTTTGGAAGGGTCTTTGGGGTTTAAAATATTTGTTAATTGACTTTTTACAACGTCAATTTGTTCTTTGGCTTCATTACTATCATCTAGCATCTTTTTACATTTCTGAATAGTTTCTTCCGGAATATCATCGGTATTCAAAAATGTTCTGGCAAATAAATCCGCTAACAAAAATAAATTAATGTATAATTTAATAATTATTCTTATAATTTTCATTTAAACGTTAAATATGTTGGCGTTATTGAACATACCTGTAGCACTGACCCTACGCTCAGAACTTGAATATATTTTAACATCATCAAGTATACTTCGATTCAATATTAGTAAATCTTTGCGTAAATTTTCACCAAGATCACGAGATTGATAACGAGCAGAATGTGTAAACTATTTTTTTTAAAAGTTTAAATAAAATAAATGTATAATCCAAATGTTTCATCAACAATGAAATAAAAAATACTTACCTCACCACCCCATTTTACAATCAACTGCAACTTTGTGAATGTTCCATCTTCTTTATTGTAAGATGGCTTTATTTGAACTTTAGTTCCTGGTAGTTCACTTTTCATGTGTAAAACTAATTTGAGCTGTTCCAATTTCGAAATTTTTTCACTTTTTAATTTGATTGCTTCAACTGTAGCCTCAAATACTTGTTTAAGTTCATCTTCATTCTTTAAGATAATTTCTTCTGAAGATCCTTTTAACAGATCAACAAACGGTTTACTACTAAAACTAAATTTCAATTTTTGTTTTGGTGTACGATCAGCGTGTCGAAATACAGAGATGAATGACTTTAAACGCCACGAATTCTCGAATCTCAATTCATTTGGTATGGAATCAATGCTAACTTTTCTTTTTCTAACAGCATTAAAAAACATTGTTCTTAAAATTTTTGCACAATTACTATAATAATCATCGTTTCCCTTTACAAAAGACCATCCATTAACATCAATAACATAAGAGCTTCCGTGGACTCTCAACAAATCAAATCCACAAACAGTTTGTCCAAAAGCCAAAGTTATATCTGTTGCCATTTTTTTTTCTTTTGTAGTGAGGTTTGTAATATATCTAATCTCTTTTCCATCAGTATTCCTCATTACAATTCCATCAATTGCGGGCGATCTGCGAGTTTCTGCATGAGCGTAAGAAGGTCCAATAGTATAAACTTTAACGTCTTCTGCGTTATCAACATCCATGAATTTTTCATAAATGAAAGAACCATCGGTTCTGACTTCTGACATATTAGGATCAAACTCACTTGATTTATTTGCAACCTAATAAATAAAAACAATAAAAAGTAATTGTTAAAAAAAAAAAAAAACAAATAACCAATGATCTTATTAAAAATAATAATCACCTTTCGAAATAATCTACGCCCGCCACCTCCACTTTCAGATGAATAATATATATGTATATTATGATTTTCGCCATTTATTGGTTTTTCGACAAAGGGTTTTCGCATTTTTTCATTATTAACACTTATTGTATCCTGATCCAACATTTCAACCACAGCTGGCGTGAATGGCTCGGGCTCAATTGGTTTACCAATGGCGGCTTTTATTTTTAAATTGGTTTCAGGATCAATTTTTATTCCACCATCTCTACTCGCAACAAGTCTTTTAGGAGTTGGAACACCTAAACCATCTAAAATCTTTAAAACAAGGCGCCGATCCCACAAAATCTTTTGCATAGGCATATCATTGACACAAAAAGGTTTTCGTAATTTAACATACTCGATTGCTTTATCCAAGGGAAAGCCGTTTGAAAAGAATGATAAGAAAAAATCACATCCAGGCCAATTTTCAACATCTAATTATAAAATAATTTATTAAAAATGGTTTCTGCATAAATATATACATATAATATGATTAGAGGGATGTGTTTTATATAAACCTTCATCTAGTATAACCTTGTCACCAAATATTACTGTTTCAAACTGTTCAAATGCGAGTAATCGATTCAAGATATTTCTCATCGGTTTTGAACGTGCCTTATTGTCCATGGCACAGACACCAATGACATCTATAATTGATTTTTCAATGTTTTTTAAAAAATATATATATATGCATTAAAGACTTATCAGAAAGTATTAAAAGTAAGAATTGTTAACTAAGGCTAATAATATTACATTTTGATCTCGAGATGTTAAGAAGTGAGGGTAGAGAGGAAGAAAAAGGAAAAAGATTTTCATTAAATTTTGGATTCATCTTTAAAAAGTTGAAAATGAATTTCTTATGCGAATCTTTTTCTTCTTCAGTGCGGGATTGTGTTACGTAATACAAAACTTGGATACTAACGAATTTTGTCCATTTTTTGCATCACGGATGTGGCCGCGAGGAGACACGCGAAATATTAATAATTTCTGACTGAATAAGGAAATACATAGAACACAAGATGAGTTCATGAAATAGAAATGATTAGATTCGCTAGATAAGATAAGAAAAAAGCAAAACGAGAGCAAAAGACTAAGATTGTTTAATGGTGACCGTGTAATTTGATTTAGATGTGTAGCATTAACATTAGTGACTGGACAAATCCTTATATCGAAGGAAATAAATTATTTAGTTCATTTTGTAATATGGTTGTTGATTTTACCAGGAAATCAACTATTGACAACCATTTTAAATCTAAAATCTCTTAAAGAGACAATCAGAAGGTTCATCTGCTCCATTAGAACATAATAAATGACTTTTTTTACGAGCTAAAGAATTATTGTTAAGACTTGAGAAACTCTCGCAAACATGAACAAATAAACATTGATTTAATTTGTACATTTACTCAGGCAGGCATTCCTCTAAGGAAATTGATGCATTAAAAACTTTTTTTTTGTTTAGATATTGTACAAATGGTGCTGCAATTTTTGGATCAGTTCAAGCTAGAAATAAATATTTGTTAAGGATACGGTCTAGCACGTGATCATTTATTAGTAAATCCTAGGGGTTAGGGGGGTTCAATACGAATGTTACACACTATGATTTCGCAAA